ATGTGAAGCGTTTTATTGGGGGGTGGGGAGGTGACCAAAACAGACGGGATCGGAAACGAGCAAATCAGCCAGACAGCTCAGGTTAAGGACATCAGAGACATAATTAGAGAGGCGAGGCTGGGAGACGGAGATAATGATAAAGAAAAGAGGTTTATATAGCCTGGAAAAACTGACGCGGTTAAATGAGTCAAGCCAATATTTAAAATGTGTAATCTTTAACACAGAAAAGAAACTAATAAAACTAATCCTAAAGTATGTAACTTTTATAGAAAAAAAATGTTTTTTGGGGGGCATATTTGTTAAAACTCACTATGTCGTGACAGTTTAATATGAGATAGGTAATGTATTTTCTGTGCCTTCTCCCTGTGGACGTCATGTAATCTGAACAAATACACCGCTCAAACAGAAACAACCAATCGGAACTAGAAGGAGGGACTTAGTGCTGTCAATCACCCTCATGTAAGCGTTGATCACAGTTTTCTGCTATGCCTTGGTTAACCAATATTATATAAACTTCCCCCACCATTTCAACTTTGTGAAAAAAACGACCACATCACACACAGATCCTGCTCTTCATCACTGTCACATGCATAAATACCACATGACTCTCCCTTAAAAAAATTTGGTATATTTCCAGGCACTTAGTGTCATTTTATAGCACAATGAAGTTGCCTTCAGTAGTTATAAAAATGCTGTATGTATCAAAAATCACTTTGATTTTACACCTTAAAATTGAGCCTCTGTGTCTTTAAGAAGCTTTAACTCTTTCTGACTCTGATTTTAGCTGAATGGTTGCCACGGGAGATTAAAAGTTTTCTCAAACATGCATAAAAGAATCGTTCCAATGACAGATTCTTATTATTTATCACTGCGACAAGGCAGGTATGTTTTTGATGATGGGATAATAACATTGTAATAAGATGTAAAGCTCAAAACAGTCAAGTTTAAATAACGCTGTCCCTATAAAAAATGGCTGATCCTGATGTAAATGCTGACAGAGCGTCCATCCTTACTGCAGATATTTGGAATGTGAAACAAATCAAATCATTTCTGTGTGTTTATGCAGCTTCTCAGGTATACTTTTCCACTGTGTTCTCGTTTTTTTAATCCATATTCTCTGGTAAACTGTCAGTACCATTAACCAAATAGATTTTTTGAAGCAGACCTGTCCAGGGTGACCTTGCCCGGAACGTTAACTGGAGATGTGCACCAGCACCCCTGCCGACCCCACTAAGGGACAAGGGTGTAAAGAGGAAGGAAGGAAGGAAGGATGGAAGGAAGGATGGAAGGATGGATGGATGGATGGATGGATGGATGGATAGATGGATGGAAGGAAGGAAGGAAGGAAGGAAGGAAGGAAGGAAGGAAGAGAAAGGATGGATGGATGGATGGATGGATGGATGGATGGATGGATGGATGGATGGATGGATGGATGGATGGATGGATGGATTTTTTTGAAGCATACATTCTTCACACAGGTGTCTGTAGGCTTAACTGAAGACTTTTTTTATTTTTTATTTTTTTTATGAAGATTCAAATAAATAATTCCAACATTAACATTTGAATTATGTTGCACAAAACGTGTATCTATTGTCTCCATCACAGCTGTCACTGAATGCTAATTATGGGACATACGACTTGATAAATGGCTCAGACAACACCTGAGCCATATTTTATGTATGAACACAAACTGAAATGGTTAGCTGCTGCAAGAGAGTTACTACTGTAACATCTTACCTTCAAGAGACGCATAAAAACAAAAGACAGTTCACAAAAAAAAAAGTCCCTAATGCCTCCCATCCATTTGGTGAATTGAGGATGTGTGATTGTTTCTGGCATCATTTCTGTCCATTAGCATGAAGAGCTCCCTCATGTTCCTGTGGATGTGTACATGTTGGTGTGATGTGAAGCGCTGCTGCTGGATAACCTCTTTGTTTGAGACCTGACAGCTCCCAGCGCCAGATGCAGATAGTGACAGCAGGAAGAGGAAAAAGGAAGCCAGAGCTTTTCCACGCAAACAATAAATGTGCTCAGTTGAAGTGAAAATGTCTCTTTGAAAGCTAATCGGTTTGAGGTCGAGAAACTCAACAGAGCATGCCTTTGGAAGTCAAATCAAGCAACCGCAGGCCTGATGGTATCGCGTTCTCTGAACATTATCAAGCAGAAGTAAAATCTAAGGAACCTCAATTTAATTATGCCCTTGGAGTCGCAGCGTCAAGCCGTCTGTCTTTCTCAAAACATGAAAATGCGGCGGGACTGAAGCTGTCTTAACTCTCTTTTAGCGAATAGATTTGATTAAATGTGGAAGTAGGGATCAGTAAAATCATTCGCAGTGAAACACGAGCCTGGTCTTCAAACTAACAGAAGTACGGTTCGTTCTTTCAGGGAATGGAAACGAAAGAGGTTCTGAAGCCATTTGCAATTCTGCTTACAATTTTTGGGGGGATTGAACAAATTCTAATGATCAGATCTGACTTTAAGAAATACAGTCACCACGACTCGTCTCCCAGTCAGCTTCCTGTTTGCCTGCTCTGCTCTGCTCTCAGGTTGCTTGTGTGGATTCACAACTGTTTCCTCTTAATTGGTAAAAAAAAAGAAAAAAAGTGCACATTATTAAGTATATACTCATTAAATATGTACATTATTTAGTGTACATATTTAATGACTGTACATTAATTAATGTACACTATTTTATTTTACATGAGAGGAAATTAAATTTAATATTATCAGTATTGTTTAAATGTATTAGTAAAAGCCAAGCTTTTACTAGGTCATTTTAAAACCTTTAGACTTATTTTCACTGGTTTCTGTAAAAAACATGTTTTATTAGGTATTAAAACGTATGTGTCTAGTTTTTACATGTTTTACTAATATGGGACCTCATAAATGCTTGGCAATCAGACAAGTTTTAATTTGCACTCAACTTAAAACTAAAAATCATTTGCAGTATTATATAAAATCAACTTTTTTTTTTTAGCTTTACACTATCTCATCAAAAACATACCTGGAGTACTGCTTTGATTATTTCATGCATGTTTGAGAAATCCTGTAATTTCCCATGGCAACCATTCAGTTGTGCAAAACGCCTGGTTGGACCTAGTCCCGCCTTCATGGACGAAGCTCCTCCTCAGAGCTGCAGTTGTGATGACTTCCTGAAGGCAGAGATTCAGAAAGAGCAGGAGGTTTTAAACAGACAGGCTCAATTTCAAGGCGTTAAATTAGAAAGTTAAATGTGTTTTAAATCGAATTTGATATATACAGCATTTTTTTTGTCAATTGAAGGTACCATGTGCTATAAAATGCCACTAAATGCCCCTAAAAGAGAGGGAGGAAAGGAGGAATCAGATTATAAAACAATGAATACAACAAACCTGATGGACGGATGGACTGAGACAGCCTGAATTTGACTCTACTTCGTTATCAAAGAGCAGCTGGAAAATTAGCGGTCACAGTGTCTTGTGTTTTAGAAGAACTACCTCTAAGTGTTGTCTTAGTTTTTATCTTTTAAGATGTGAGAGATATTGCTGAGGCTTGATGGGAGTTCTTCTGTCTTTGTTCTGCTTCTGTTTCGAAGGCATTACAAGAAAGGTTTTCTGTGATTTCCCTTTGCCGTGGTGTGAAATGCCTTCACAAATTACATCAGCAAAGGAAAAGTTTAGAAATCCAAGCTCTTGGATTCCTGCCACAAAGATTTCTCATTCTAGCTGTGAAAAGCTCTGAAGCATCTTTTTAAATAAAAAGCTGTTTACTTTGAAGTCGGGCTGGGCTCAAACACTGCGGCATCTCAGGGATGCGTGACGGCTCTCCTTGATGGATTACTGATGATGACTCACGTGTGACTACCAGGATCTCCAGATGAGGGCAGTGTTTGAGACTCAAATCTGATCAAATTAATTTAAAGGGGGGGGGGAATCCCATTGTAAACGAGTTTTGCATTTCAAACGTTTGATGATAGAAATATTCAGCTGACATGAAAGATGAGGTTCCATTATTATTTCATTTTATTTCTTGGACAAGATCCTCTAAATCAAGTTATTGGTTATCTGAAAGACTTTTCCAAGTATAACAAAATAATTGTATTACACTCTGCATGGAATGAAAGAAAAAAAAAAAGTGTTTGCATTGAAAGCAGAAGACCACATCATAAATCACAGCAGGTGCACGCTGCTATGTCACAAGCCCAGAAAGAATTCATGCTTAAAAATGTCTTTGAACTTAGTTTGAAAAATATAATTTTTTTATGACCAAAGTTTTAAGACCAGCAATACCACAGCTATCTGTTCACTCAGCTGCTTTAGTTTTGATGGTGGCAGTTTGGACTGAGCCCAGGCAGCTCTGAAGGAGAGATCAGATAAAACGCAGTTCAATGCAAATATGATAAAAGCTAAAGCAGCTGAAACTTTCATAAAAATATATATTTTTTACATATTTGTTGACACTGTCACTATGTCTCAACAGTACAGTATGAAACAGATAATCTGTGGGGAAAAATCGAGCTCCTTTGTTTGCTAACTAAAAACTGCCAATTGGAGCCAAGTGCTGTCAATCACCTCTGTATTCCTCCTCTTGCTCTCTGCTATGCTGCAGCTAGCAGAGCCTGTTGTGAAAGCTAAGGCCGGTGAGCATAGCCAAGCAGTTTGTCCTAAACAGTAAGTTCTTTAGAATAAATGTGGAAGGGTAATAATAGATTTATATATTTGCAAGACTTTTTCATTCCTCTTCCAAAATTTTTTTGTATTTAAAATGTTTTGAGAATAAAATGGAACCAAAGTCAAATTTTTCGTGCTCAATTTTTAGATCAGCACAATTTGATCTTATTGCACTTCACATAAATGTAGAAACTGTCATTTATTTTCTATTTATATCACTAAAAATTCTTTATAATTTCAAAATTAATATTAACTCTTCATATATAGAACATTGAAGAACACACTGGGTTGTTGTTGAAGGACAAGAGTCATTTTAAAAATGTATGCTAAATAATCTACCTAAAAACTGGATCTGAGTCACTTTCTTTAAAACTGTCAATAATTGAAAAATTAGGTCAACATTTTTCATAACTGCAGTAACTTTGCCTTTTGACAACTTTTAATATCTGACAATTTACAGATATTTTAAATATAACCTTTAATGAACAAACTGATATTTTCTCCAAGATATTAATTGTATCACATTTTCTTCATTTTAAAAATAGTTCTGCTCTTTTTCTAAAACTTAACTGCAGAATTATACCATTGACAGGATGAAGAGTTGCAAAAGTGCAAAAGGACAAGTATGTTTAAATAGCTAAATAAATTAATTTAAAATGGATTTTAAATCCATAAAATCTATTTAATTCAGCTACAAATTAAAGAACCCTGTCAAACATAATTCAAAATTCTTTCAAATTAAAATTGACATTTGACTCAAACAGATTAGAAAAAGATGTTAAAATGTCCCTCAACTATGTCTGAAACTTTTGCTGAATAGAACTGGACATTTCATCATTTATAAATGTCATTTTACTCCACATTCAGCCTCCTGACTAGGGAATGAAGTAAAAAATCCAAGTAACTCAACAGGTTTAAGGTTATGTTAGAAACACAGAACACAGCTCAGATTTTAAAATACTTTTTTACTATTTTAAAGTTAAAAAAAAAAGCAAAAAGAAAAGAAAACTGATCTAGACAAAAATGTTTACAAAAAAATACATAGTTAAAAACAAAAATGACCCAATCCCTCTCAATGTTTCCGTGTTATAGTGGACAGTGTTATTCAGACTGTCACCTTTGAACTGAAATCTTAAAACTCCTGAACTGGAACTTCAGGGAGAAACATCTTCTTCCCTGAAACTCTGAGTCTCTAACAGCGGAACCAGAACCCAGAAGAGCTGGGCTCTTATAGCAGACATGTGTCCAGTGAGTCTCTGGAAATAAGACGTTAAGTTTTATTTACCCTACTCACCCCCACCCCCCAGCTCTCAGTCCTTGTACTCTGTGTATTTCTTGGCCGAGCCGTGCACCTTGCTGGTGGGATATTTGAGTCGGTTCAGCGCCATCTTGCGCAGCACCGCTTGGGGAAGGTCCACGCGGCACTTCTCGGCCAGCTCCACCAGATAGATGAGCACGTCGCTCAGCTCGTGCGCCAGCTGCTCCCGCTCGGACTCGGTCCAGTCCGGCAGACCCTCCGCCACCTCTCCCCGCCACTGGAAGAGTTCCGCCACCTCGCCCACCTCCCCGACCATGGCCAGGAGCAGATTGCGGGGCTGGTGGAACTTATTCCAGTCGCGCTCGTCCGTGAAGTCGGCCTGCATCCTGCGGATGTCCTCCATGCTGGGCTCCGGGCTGAAGGTGAACTTCTGCGGGCTGACCGCTGCTGCTGCTCCATTGGAACGGGACTCGGCCTCCGAGACTCCTGCGTCCCCCGCTGAGGGCTCCTCCCGGCACCCGTTTGAGAACACGGCCATGTCGTCTTTCAGTCCTCTGGAGTCTTTTCCGCTTCTCGCCATCATGTTTTAAGAGCTCGGATTCGTTTCGGTGCCTGAAAATAATCTTATAATGGCTGTAAACAACCCGTTCCTAATATTTCCAGCAGGTGAAGAAGTCCCGCCAGTCGGTATAGCGGAAATGACGCGTTGTGAACGGAAGCTAGGGCTCGTTTAAAGCTCCCCCTTTAACTGCTGGGGCTTGTAGTATTAAGCACCAGCATCGCTCTGTTTAACGTTGAAGGTCACTTTTAAAGTACTACAACTCCCATGAACATCAGAGCGACTGGGCCATCATGGCCGCCTCCTGTACAGCAGCCAGGGAGCTGCTTCATAACATCAAATTAATACCTTATTATCAAAAATCTTCCTGTTTGTTTATCAGATGGATCAGCACATCTAAGTTTCAATGCAGCAGTCAGCCGCTGGAGAAAAGGTGAACTATTTTCTCTACTAAACTATACTGTCTCGATGTTATGGTGACTGTGAGAGATGCAATGTAATGAAACAAAAATACAAACCATTTAAACGTTCACGTTTTCCGGGGTTCAGCGGGGTATATATGAACAGCCAATGTATTATCTGCGGTAAGCAATAGTGAAACTGGATGTACTTAGGTGTATGTTGAAGTAAAATAACATTTTCACAGTCAAGCTAACATTTAGAAATTCTCCTGACTGAACCTTTACCATCTCAAACAACTTTGGAAGAACTCTGGTACATGGAGCATGCTGTAATACAAAATACTTGTGCAAAAAAAAAAAAAAAAAAAAAGACCTGCCACATTGGGTTCATAGTAGATCTGTCATGATAACCAATTTTGCTGGATAATAAATTGCCTCAGAAAGTTTTGCGATAAACTTAAATAGACCATTCTCATCTAACATGGTAATGACATAATGGTACAAGTTTGCTTCCTCAAAGACTAATAAACTTTTATTTTGTAAAGAACAAAACATAAAAAAATACATCAACCAAAAACCATAAGTAAAAAGGAAATTAAAAACCATACAAAACCGGACCCATCTATAAAATGTATTATTTAGTCTCTATAAACAAAAATTCCTTTAAAAAGTATGAAATTGATTAACTGACTAATTGCTTATTGCGACAGGTTTATTTCATGGCAAGCAATCTGCAGATAACGATTAGCCTATTGAACTGCTAGAAGAAAAACATTTCCATCTGAAGAAGTTGTCTTGAAAATGCCTGATGTTTTGGTATTAAAATAGCCTTGTAGCCTCATAAAGCCTTTAAAGGCTTTATGCTGCTTCACACAACTAGTGTCAGCAAATGTATCTCATACATGGAGAGCCTGTTTAAATAAATAACTAACATTTATTGCAGATCAAGCAGCTCTTTGAAAAACAAACGGCAGGAGATTATGGACAGGAGAAGTCATGAAGAAACGTTGTAATGTTCACTATTTTCCTTCTGCCCCAGACATCTCTGTCATCCACTTCTCTCTTGTGTGTGTTTGGTACCTCAGCGCTCTGCAGCAGCTGGTTGGAGTGGTCGGTTTGGAAATCCACGCGCAGATTAGCTCAAACACCAAACTGTTCTCTGGCTCGTCGGTTCAGTTTTTAGCTCCTCCAAACTCCTTGGTTTCGTTCTTTGATGCGTCTTTGCCCGGAACTCTTCCTGTGAGTCATATTTAGCATATTCATATTGAACTTAACTTGTTCATAATTCTTCTGCTTGTTCTAGGAGAGTGTTAATGTTGCCATGTGTTCACAGGTCCTCAACAAGCGATGCGTTGAAGCAGCAGTGATGACAGGACTGGCTCTCAACTGCACCATAAACAAGAAGTCAGTCTTTGACAGGAAACACTACTTTTATGCCGACCTTCCTGTGAGTGTGTGTTCGCCATGTTCTGCAACATATTTATGATTCGTAGGTAGAAAGGTGTTACCACAGGAGGCAGAAAGTCATCATTTATCTGGATTTGTTTGCATGAATACATATTGGCTTCGACTGTTAAAGGAGACCTATTATGCAAAATTCACATTTTGCATGTTTTTGTACTTCCATTTGAGTCTCAACTGCTCCTAAACACAACCCAAGCACTTAAAAAAAATACCCAGCCATTTGTTAGCAATAAAAACATTTTTTTGGTGTCTGGAAAATGAGCCATTTTAAAGACCACCTGAAAAGTTACATGAGACAGGTAATGCACTGTTACCGAGCAACCCCAGCCAAGCCAAGCCCCGTTACCTAGCAACCCAACAGAGCTCCAGCTCCTTTGCTCTGCTGGTTTTATGCACTATACAATGGCTGCTGGAAAAGACAAATGTTTTGTTGTTAATTTGCCTTCCAGAAACCTCTTTCTGATTGTGTAGGAGGCTCTACTTCTGCTTATCAAAGATGTACGGTTATACAATTGTGCATCTGTTTATACAGCCATTGTCATGTGCGAGTGTGAACGTCGAGTTAAGGGGTGTGGCCAACAGGAGCTTATTTGAATTTACAGTGACAGAGGCCCTAAAACAGCTCAAAATAGGCAGAACTGAGCAGACTAAAGTCTCTAAGAATCATTTTGTGCAAAAAATGCAATAAACATGTTTCGTATCGCACATGGACCAATCCCTGTTCAAGAGAACACAGTTGATCACCTTTAAATGAAAGAAAATTAACCTTAAGTTTCAAACATGAACCCTTTTTAATTAGCAGTTTGTTTACTTTAGTCCTCTGTAGTTGCCTGTGTAGAGTGAAAAAATGACACCCTGAGAACCTTTGAGTTTTTATTACATATTTGAAAATATGGAGATTTTGTACTATTTTAAACATTGCAAGAAAATAATTTATCGTAATTAAAGTAAGTGATTAAAACTGAAAAAAAAATAATCTCCATAAATCCTATAAAAAAGAAAAGGTAATGTCCTAACCACAAAAACATCAAATGTTGCCAAGTATTTTTATCTATTTCTAGTGCAAATATTTTAGTACCATGACATAAGACAAAACAAATTTCCCAGTAACTCTTCAGAAAGAAATGGGAGCTTATCTTAATTCATTTATTCTTTTATACTGATGGAAAATTACTAGTTTTGAGCAAAATAATCTGTCGAGATATTTTTCCCATTATTTCACTTCGAACTAGTACTTTTTTTCCCCCTGAATACAACCAATCTCTCATGTGAAATTGATTGATAAATAGATTCTGAAAATCTGTTTCCTTATAATTGTTTGTGGAGTCTAGAATCAGCTATTTAATGGTAACATGAATAATTGGGGCTCTCTGGTAAGAAACCTCACCGTTCTGCTGGTGGTCCTCATATTTTCTTTCCGAAGCGAGCCGCTTGCACAGTGATCTTTCCCAACCTTTCTGGGCCTGGGGCTAATTTTCCTGGCATTATGTGTGACATTTTAAGGAAAAGATTAAATGTCACGGTTGCCCCCACAGAGACCTTTCCTCAAATTTATAGAAATTCTAAGAAAGGAGGTGCTAAAGAGTTTAGAATTTTAAATCGGCAAAGTCTGTCCAAGCCTCCTAAAAAGGATTATGGACGGCTCAGGGCAAACATAATAATGAGGACGATGGTTAATCAAAGATGTCTCCTGCTATTTTAATAAGACTGTCTGGAGGAGGAGTGTAATGGTGAGAAAACCATCATATCAAAATTAGCTGCAACTTATTGTATTTTGACTGTTCATATTTCAATATGTTTTAATAAGACAAAGAAGAAATTTAACTAAAAAACATGAAACAACAATTTGAAATCTTCTGTATTTATTTATTTATTCTTTTTTTATCATTTTGTTTGTGACTTATTATCTTTGCATTGTGTTTTTCAATGTCTGAAATTCAAAAATATACAAGGAAAACGTTAAACTGAGTTCTGTATAGTTGAATAGTAATTCCGAAATTAAACCACGTGGCCTCACAAATCTCACAATGTTTCGGAACTCAACAAAACAATTAGAAGAAAAAAGAGCCACCCTCCTCTATGATCCCACCTACTCAGCTCCTTCAGACTAGCCAGCAGCAATTAGCAAACACGTTGCGTCACCAACGTTTTTACGCTGGTAAAAACATTGGTGAAGGGTTAGTAGGGGAGCCATGTTGTGTATTAAAGAGGCAGAGGTCTAATTGCACGGTGTTAAATTATGAGTTAAAATTTTGTAAACAAAGCATTTTTATGAAAACTCAAGGTAACATGGTTACTTGATAGTGCTATTAAAATGCCACTAAAAGCCTGGAGGACACACAATACTCCCCCTTATAACGATGCAGCTGATGAGACATTCTGTGTCCTCCTGCAGTGCCCAGGTTGAAGGCTGCAGCACTGAAGGAGAAAGGGCCCTCGGTGGAAAGATGACATCTTTCACTCTGCATTGTTCATTATTGATAAGATCCACAAAAATGTAATGATTGTATTTGTGTAAAATGCCCCAGCTGCTCATAATGGGACTATCTGAACGGAGAGGCCAGGCGAGCTGCGGCTTTCATTTATTGACCACACACGTCTTCTAAAATCTAAATGATTCAAGTTCCCCTCAGATATAAAGTGTGCAACTGAACCACCGTGTCTGGAGGCCACCGATGAGATTCCCAGTATGGCTGCAGAGGGCGGAATAAGCACAGAAGTGGAGTGTTTGTGACCATGTAATGGTCGTTAAGGCCAAGGTGGCGATCTGAGCAGATCCAGGATATCTTAATATGATGTCACCAGCAGGAAATGGTTTGAAGAGCAGCTGATTGGTTCTGCAGGAAAACACAGCATTTTCATTAATTGCACCAATCAACTTTTTTTACTTCCAATACCGATATCAGAGGTTTATAATCGGCTGACTTGATCCGATAAAGAAAACAGCGCTGAATTGACTTAAAATGTTCATTTTTTTAAACACATACATACATTTACTGAGTTACACATTTATTTGGTAACTGCACAAGTACAGCTCACACCAATAACTTCACAAGCTTGAACAACATGTAAAAACAACATTGATTTGTTCAGTCAGTGTAATTAGGTTTAGAACATTCAATGAAAAATATATAATAAAGAAACTGAAATCTGACAAAAACAACTATCTTGATCAAATATCTAAAACATAAACTGCAAAATAAATGTAAAATAAAAAAAACATAAAACCTAGAATTAGACTGAATAGATCAGCCCCTTATGGATGGGCAGATTATCACCGATAC